AATGTATCAAATTGGATTAGTCTCCGGTAAATTTTACAGTGAAAATTGATGAAAGGATTTAATTGAGATGAAATTGATAATTGAGGGATTAAACTAAAATAATTAAAAATTTAACGATCAAATTAAAATTAAAGATAAAATTTAAGGACGAATTATAATATTTACCGTTCTTGGAGGTTTGTAAATCATTTCTTTGACCTGGTTTCAGGTAGCCAAAAAACGACCACATCAAAGGCTCAAACGTGGATTACAATAAGTTTTGAAAACTATAAGCATACACAGACAAGTCATTAAACTACATAACAAACAAATTAAGACAAAGGATGGGTAAATCCCATTTTCACCCCTAAAAGATACAAAAAAAATTTAATTTGCCCTCTAAATGACTAATTTTCTCACATTGTCCTTTTAAAGAAATAAAAATGTTATAATGTGGTCCACTATCTTATTTTCGTTTTGTAATTCATCAGTTTTGTAATTTCTAATTATTTGATTTAACACAAAACAGATGGATGATCAAACGGTAATAAGACGATGAATTACATTACAATATTTTTATTCTTTTGATAGGGTAATGTTGAAAAATTAATCATTCAAATGATAAACTGAAAATTTTTGTATCTTTCAGAAGACAAAATAAGATTTTCCCTAATGCTCCGTTTGGTAGGGAGGATGGAAAGTAGGAAGGATGAAAAGTTTGAGGAATACACTTTTTATATTTCAAGGATAGAAAGTAGGAATGATACATTTTCCTTCTTTTGTGTTTGGTTGGATGAGTGAAAAATAAAAATGACTATTTATTTATTTTGTGCTGGTTAAGATTAGGGCTGACAATCGAGTCGTGTCATGTCAAATTCGTGTTGAGTCATTACGAGTTTGTGTCGAATATTAGTCAAACCTAACTTAACTCATTTAATTAATTGTGTCGTGTCGAGTTGCGAGTTGACCATTTTATTTTCGTATCGAGTTCGAATCGTGTTGAGTCGAAAATTTTTAACCTTAGTTAAAATAAAAAAAAAAATATTTTTTTTTAATTTAAATTTTTTAAAATATATATACATATTTTACCATTATATTTTTATATGAAATTAATGTATACATAAAATATATAGACAAATAAGATACATCTTAATACAAATAATTAACTTTTCATCCACTTTTCTTCTGATTTTGGAGGGATTAATTTTGATGAGTTAAAAAGAAAGTTAATCCATCAATTTTTCTATCCTTTCTATTTTTCTTCCTTACCAAATATGATATTCTATTTTTTCGTTCACTCTTTCAACGTACCAAAAAGAACATAAAAGAATAATAAAAGCGTCTATGCTGTCGCTATCGGTATTGGCACTTCGTTGAGAGTTCTGTCAAGCTTTTGACATACTTCGCCGACTGTAATGGGTCGCCATAATGCGACCACAGACATAACAACAGATTTCATAGAGCAGGTAGACTGTTGTGCTTCTAACTCGTAACCTAAGACGAAGAGACATGCGTATAGACATTATTAAAGAAAGAGTAACGTCCGTATAATGAAAAACGATTAATCTTTGTTTTTTGTAAAATTCTTAGGATATCTATAATTTATTCTATGTTTGTCGGATGTATTTATCGTCAACTTTCTTTGAATTTAGACATCTAAAAGGTTTTGTTTTTTTGGGCAGCACAAAATTTTCAATGTTTGGTAGTTTTTAATTTAACTTGCAATGCACGATGTGTGTTGCATATAAATAAATTTAAATAATATGAATTATATATATAATTAAATTAAATAATAAGTTAAAAGTCAAATAATTAATTTATATTTTAATTGTTATTAAATTTAATTATTATTTTATTCTATAAAACTTTGAGTACATAATCTGTCATTTATTTAGTTATTTTTCTGACCCTTTAGGCATTTAGACACTAATTACATTATAGAATTATTGAATTTTATTTTTTTAAATAGATTGATTAAATTGCTTATAATACTATTATATTATTGCATACCAAAAATAAAATATAATATATATTTGATAATGAAATTCAATCTAATAACTATATTTGTATAATAATTTAACATATATATACGACTGTAATTCTTCATATAAATATAGAATTGTATATAACTGTACAACGAATAAATGAATTCAAAAGAATTTAGAAGTTCTTACAAAAAAGTCCAGCATAAGTTGAACGTCAAATAAGAGTAAAAACAAAAAATTATATGAAAGTATATATATTATTGAGTATAATTGGTTTTATTATAATAATATTGTCAAAATAAGAAATCAAAACTTTTCATTTACTTCTATGTAAATATAGAAAATTATATATAACTTTACTACTATTAAATGAGTTCAAAAAAAATTAGAAACCCTAATAAAAGAGTTCAAAAAAGTTAAAAGTCAAATAAGAGTACAAAACAAAAATTAGATGAATATATATATATATATATATATATATATATATATATATATATATATATATTGTAGATATAATTGACTTTATTATAATAAGGGTAAACCACATAACTGGCCCGTAAAAGTTTCTATTTTTTTTAAATTGCACCCTGAACTTTATATTTTTTGATTTTATCCCTTGAACTATTTAAATCATTTTAATCAACACATTCTGTTGGATTTCACCGTTAAATAGGGATAAAACCCAAATGGCAAGTGCATATGACATATATTGAAGGTCATTTTCCACATTTCACCTATTGTGTAAGGTTTTAGGCGCCAAAATTCCCTCCCATTCCCCCTGATGCTCTGTTTTATTTGACCCTTAATGCTCTGTTTTGTCCAGTTGAGAGAGAGAGAGAATCAAGTCATGGAGAGAGAAAATAAAGCCATGAATGTGTATTCGATTTTAGGTATTGTGTTCCTTAAAGAAATCGGGTGTTGGGTAGTGTTGTTGGGTGTTGAGTACTGTGTTCTTTAAAGAATTTTGGTGTTAGGTGTTGGATATTGGGGGTATTGTGTTGGGTAGTATTAACTTTCTCCTACAATTTCTCGTAATCAAAGTTTACAATACAAGTCAGTGAGGGACTGGAAAATCAAGAGGCTTGGGCTTTGCATTCTGAATTATCATCTACCCAGATGGAGAATTGTGACAGGAACATTGCTTGTGATCTTGTTGGTCTGGGAAATTCATTTTCAGTAAGAACCCATTTTCAGTAAGTGTTTTGATTCATTGATAATAATTACTTCTACATTTTATGGTATATGGTAAAGATCTTAGCTTTTGAATTAGTCCTGAGTACACCAAGCAAGGATGTAGCTTTCGAAGCTTTGATTTCTATTCTTATTTTTGGGTCAACTGGTGTTACTAATTTATTTAGTTGTGAGCTTTTAATTTTATTTTAAGTTGTTTGGATTTGATATTTTACTATTTTTCCTACTTGATGGGTTTTGCAATTATTTTGGTCTTGTAAATGAAATTGAGTTATCTACGTTTGTTTTTTGCTTTTGTTTTTTTCAAATGTTCTATAGATGTTTTGTGATATATTTTTATAGTTTCTTCTCTGTTTTGACATTTGGATAGTAAACATTCATGACTTGATTTTCTCTCTCAACTAGACAGAACAGAGCATTAAGGGTCAAGTAAAACAGAGCATCAGGAGGAATGAGAGGGAATTTTGATGCCTAAAACCCTTAAACAATAGGTGAAATGCTGAAAATGACCTTCAATATATAGAATTTGCATTTGCCAGTTGGGTTATATCCCTATTTAACGATGAAATCAAACGGAAGGTTTTAATTAAAATGATTTAAATAGGTTAGGGGGTAAAATCAAAAAATTTAAAGTTCAAGGTGCAATTTTAAAAAAATAAAAATGTTCAGGGGCCATTTATGTGGTTTACCCTTATGAAAATTAGGGATAAAATAGAAAAAAAATTTAGAAGTTGTTATAAAAGATTCCAAAATAAGTTAAAAGTCAAATAGGAGTACAAAACAAAAATTAGATGAAAATATATATATTGGTAGGTATAATTGATTTTATCATAATAATTAAGAATAAAATAGATGCTGACATTTATAAATAGTAGTATTAGGATTTTTGAGTGTAATAACAAATTGTCCTTGTATACTACTAATTAACCTTTTTTTTTCGGTTCAATGGTTAAGGTGTTCATGTCAGTTTACGCGCTCTTCAACTAATTTTCTTTTCGGTCCAATCAAAGGCTGACCATCTATGCCGGGACTAGGGCGCTCAAGATGGATAAATCCTTCATTACCTGACCCTAAGAGGTTGCCAAGATTCAAATTTGAACTCAAGATATCTGAGTTGATAACTCATTCCTGTTATCACTTAAGCTACTCTTTCAAGTTACTACTAATTATTTTTCAATAATATTTTAGAGAGTTTTATTTGTGGATTCAGTTTTCTAATATGAGTTTGTTATTGATTAAATTATACTTTATCACTTTACCCTCTTGAAGTATTATTTATGTTTCACTTTGCACACTCAATTATAAATTATACTTCACACCAAGTGCGTAGTACCACTTTTGTAATCAAATGGTTACTGAGAAAAAAAAAAGTCATCTAGAGAAAGAAAATTTGGAGTTTATGAATGGCAAATTCATAGATGAATATTTTTTCTTAATTTTAACATGTATATGTGTAATAAGCAGTTGTTTATTGACGGTACAACCAACTTATATGCGTATTTATTATCAAAAAATTGACAGTCGTTGTCTATTAGAATAATATGAAATAAAATTGATACTTTATGGTGTAATGTGAGAAATTTTATATTTAAGAATACAAACTAAAAAAAAAAGGAATAGTTCAAGAGAGGAAAGTATAATTTACCCTTTGTTATTCCATAGCATAATCTACCATACAGAGATCTAAAACAAATAAAATGTAAGATTAAAATAAAATTTCATCACACTATACTATTCCCATCTAAAAGAATAATAAATAAAATAAAATAAAATTCCATAATTTCATCTTATATAAACAGCACTGCTGAACCATCATTATAGTTGCAATTTCTTGGAGTTCCAACAATGGCTGACTTTCAAGGCTATATCATTCTCTTCCTCGTCTGGCTTATTTCCACCATTCTCCTCCAAGTCCTCTTCAAGACTCGAAAGTCTCCCCTTCCTCCAAGCCCAACAGCCTTTCCGATCATCGGTCACCTCCACCTTCTTGCTCCGATACCTCACCAGGCTCTTCACAAACTCTCGAAACGTTTCGGACCCTTAATCCACATCTACCTCGGCTCTGTCCCTTGTATTGTCGTTTCCTCGCCAGAGATAGCCAAAGAGGTCCTCAAAACCCAAGAATCTTCCTTCTCCAACCGACCCAAAATCGCTGCTGTTGATTACTTAACTTATGGTTCACAAGATTTCTCATTTGCACCCTATGGACCTTACTGGAAGTTCATGAAGAAGTTGTGCATATCAGAGCTTCTTGGTGGCCGAACACTAGACCTCCTCCATCCGGTTAGGTGCGATGAAATTCAACGTTTTATCGAATTTCTATCGAAAAAGGCCAGAGCTGGTGAGGAAGTTGATGTTGGAGGAGAGCTTATAAGGGTGACAAACAATGTAATATCAAGAATGTTAATGAGTGAGAGATGTTGTGAGAATGAGGATGAAGCCGGTGAGATTAGGAAGTTGGTTCAAGAGATAGCCGAGCTCACAGGGAAGTTTAATCTGTCTGATTTTATATGGTTCTGTAAGAATCTGGATTTGCAGGGATTCAGAAAGAGGCTCAAGCATGTTCGCGACACCTACGATTCGATGATGGAAAGGGTTATAAGGGAACATCAAGAGGCAAGGAGGAAGAAGAAGGAAAGTGGTGATAGAAGTGATGTGGTTAAAGATCTGCTTGATATTTTACTGGACAGTTCAGAAGATGAGAGCACAGAGATCAAATTAACCAAAGAGAACATCAAAGCCTTTATCCTGGTAACCTAACCCCCCCTTTTTTTTTAATTTTTGGTTCTAGTCTGAACTAGACAAGTAAAGAAACCACTTTTTTTTTTTTTAACCAAATCAAACAGGTTATCAATCTTTCAACAAAGACGGCATATATCTAACTTTTCAGACCTCATATTTGCAAAACTTTTATATACTGAATTTTATCGACATAAGTTGATCAATGATTAACTGGGTTGCTAACTAATATCTCCAATTTCAAAGAGGGAAATTGATTGATCACGGTGAAGTAAACTTTTTTGTCTTTGTTATAAGAAATTCAGATTAGATTTTTGAAGCAGACAAGAGTGTAGTTTTGCCGGCCCAAATGGTGGTGTTTTAGGGAAAAAAATATTTTGAAATCTTCAGACTGGTTTTATATGGCTTCAACGTTGTAGTTTAGAATTATTTATGTTGTTCATTGCTTCAACGTCTACATAATTCATATGTATATTGTTTTTCTATTTGCTTAGAAAATTATGGGATTCAAGCAACTTGTTCCATTTGCTTACCTCTACATGTTGAAGACTTTTTGCTGGTACTCTTACCGATAGACTTCCATAGAGGAATAGATTAAGGAAAATGCTAAATAGATTAATATTTTTCAACGAGTTAAACCATTTATGATCTAGTTGATGCAGTGCCATCTTGCTAATTGCTATCTAGTAAATTCGAAGAATAATTTTTTTTATTTGTTCTTTAAAGGGTAAAATATAGATTATCAGTATGTGTTTCAATTTCATAATTAGCTCATTACCCTTGTACATGTAATAATATTTATTTTGTTCTCTCTGAAAACCTCAATCTCTTTTTATCTTTTCCCTTTGTATACAGTAAGAATATTTTTAAATTTGAAAGGTTTTTTTATTAGAAAATGTTTAAGAAATTAAAATAAAAGCTATTACTATAGTTTTATACCACATTTTTTTTATCTTATTAGCTATTGCACTTTATTCCTAGATTATGAGTAAATATACAATATAACGGTGGCATCACGTCATCATAGTAATATGATGTCACCTTTCCCAGGGAAAAAATAAAATAAACAAAATATACCCCACTTCTATACATGAGTTAGTTATTATATTACATAGATGGTTAGTTATTCAATTGCGTGAGATTTACTTATGAACTTGTTGCCTTTTTATTAGAAGATTTCACTCTGTTATCGTGATGACATAGTGTAACAGTAACATTTAATATTTTCTCATCAAATACATAAGGTTATTAGTAAATTTAAAAAATAAAATAAAATAGTGTATGCTATTGGTTCAAACTTAGATTGAGTAAATGCATATCCAAACTTTGATTCAAATACAGGCTCAAAAAACTTCTCCAATCTTGGATTCAAATCTATATTAAATCAAGGTAAAAGTTATTCTGGATCCAAATTGAAGCAGACTAAAATTTTACACCAAATTTATAACAATAACTTTTTAACCTATCCAAAGCTAAAATACTTCTTCGAAGACTTGTTCTCTATCTCTTCTTGCCTGTCTTTACTATGTTGCTTCTATTGCTGAGTACCACCAAAGCTTTCACAAATTATTTGAAGGCCTGTAGGTATGTTTTTTTCTGTTTCATCTTCTCTTTTCTTCATTTTTTGAATTTTTGAAAACCCTAATCTCACCCATTTTTCATACTATGTAAACCCTAAGCCTACCTATCAAAATTTTCCTTATTTTTTTGAGTTAAATACACTATCGGTAGTATAATTTCAGGTAACCGATTATTCCTGAAGTTTTAAGTCTTCACTATCTACAAATTTAGAAAATTAGTCATTTTATTTCTTCAATCTTCTATTTTTGTTAAAAAGTATGTTTTTGTGTTCTTTAGACCAGACCCTTATCAAAATAGTTATATATTTTTTTCTTTATCTAGATTTATAAAAAATGATAAGAAATTAAAACAATCTTATAATTCCGAGGTAATTTCTTTATTTCCATGTAGTGTTATATACATATTTATTTTTTTTGAATTACCCATTTGTGAAGAAATATGAAAATTTCATTTATTTTATCAAATATCATGATTTGAATGACACAAAAAAATGAGTTTTTGGGGCATTAAGTGAATTTTTTTTTTAAATTTAAGTAGATATTTGAGTTTGTTCATTGGAATATTCTATAACAAATCAAATTTAAACTCAAATTTGAATTTAAATTTAAGTCATAGATAGAAATACTCTAAAACATAATTTACCCGTATTTAAATCAATTCTAGAGATCCAATCTAATGAAATCTTTGATTTTTTTCAACTTTACAGGACATATTTGCAGCTGGTACAGACACATCTGCCATTACAACTGAATGGGCACTAGCAGAGCTAATCAACCATCCATATATAATGGAGAAAGCACAAAAAGAGATTGATTCTGTGGTCGGAAAGAACAGACCAGTAGAAGAATCAGACATTCCAAACCTTCCCTACCTTCAAGCCATTGTTAAGGAAACTTTAAGACTTCACCCCACAGGTCCGTTAATTGTTAGGGAGTCGAGTGAAGACTGCACTGTCGGGGGTTACCAAATTCACGCAAAGACTCGACTTTTCGTTAACGTGTGGGCTATCGGGCGAGACCCGAACTACTGGGAAAACCCTTTTGAGTTTCAACCCGAAAGATTTTTTAATGGAGAAGGAGACAGAAAGAGTCAGTTGGATGTGAGGGGACAACATTTTCATCTGTTGCCGTTCGGGAGCGGACGAAGAGGGTGTCCTGGAACTTCACTAGCATTACAAGTGGTTCAAGCAAGCCTTGCTGCTATGCTACAGTGCTTTGAATGGAAGGTTAGTGGTGGAGGGAATGGCACTGTGGACATGGAGGAGGGAACTGGACTCACTCTTCCAAGGGCTCATCCCTTGGTTTGTTTTCCAGTGGCTAGGCTCAATTCATTTCTTTTGAAATAGCTTTATGGAGGATCAAATATATTGAATGAAGAAGCTTCATTGCTTCATTACATTCGAAGTGTCATTAGAAAGAAAACACTATAATGGAAAAAGAAGTGCAAGAAAGGTTTTATGCATTTGTGTGACACATATGGTGTAATATTATACGACTTATTGGCAGCCAAGTTTGTTTTTAATGTTTCACTAGTTTTTTTTTATATTATATATCAATCGATAAAAGTTTGAGGGTAAATAACGTTTTGTATTATTGAAGTTTTTATATGATTTCTATTTAGTTCTTGAACTGTTAATTGAAACGACCAAATTCTTAAACTTTGAACCTATTTTGTTGTTTTGGATTTTTAATCCTCTAATTGTGTGAGATAATTTAAGTAAAAATTTGAGTCATGATTTTAAGATCAATTGAAAGGTTGCCCGAAATTTTGCATCAACATGCATAAACACTGATTATGCACAAAATGGTCTCGTGTAAAATCAATAGTCGAGTGTGTGATTAATGGACAATTAATAGAGCAATCAATGACAATAATATAAATATTGGATCAACACACGAATATATAGTGGTTTAGTCTGGGTGACATACTCCACTCTAGAAAACAGCAATGATGCCGGAGGACCTTTATTGATAAAGTATGATGATTGAGAGAGATCAATTGTTAGCTCTGAATGAGATACAATAAGTAAGAAAGAGAAAAACAATGTGCGAGGTGTGTAGAGAGGTGTAGAGATACTCCTCTCAATAGAAAGAGTTTACAATTTATAGACACAGAACATTGGTTAAGGTGGTGACGTGAGGACAAATGTACTAATTCTCCAGATTGCTACAAAAAGGTAAGTGTCATAACAGGTTATCTTGATCTGCGAGAATGAGTATTCCGATAATTGCTCCCAACGTGTTTCAAATATTCTTGGACTCCATCGAACTTGGGCTGGGTTGAATCTACGGACTGGTCTTGAACTGTCCTTTAGTTGATTTGGGTTTATTTGATTTATTGTGTCTGACTCGGTTAGATTTGAATTGTCAAACACGATACAAACTTAAAAAAACACAATATAAAATGATACAATCCGAATATAATATGAGAATATTCGTTTAAAACCCTAAGAAGGAATCGACCGACTCAATACGTTTGAAAGATTCTTTAAAATTTTGAGTTGATTCACAGTAACTTGTGCATCCCTCGAAGATTTCACCACTCTTACCTTGAATATTTGTCCAAAGAATGGATACTGAAACCTAAATCCTCCATCTGTCCGGCCGGGAGGTGATATTCTTGGTCAAGTTGTTCCATTCCGGACAATCAGATTTGTATCAATAGAGCCTCTTTTTAGACCGTTTTATGTGTTTATTCTTGATTGGGTAAATTTCATCGTTGGTCTCTGACCTCCGGTTTTAATTTAGTGTATGAACTTTCAGTTGTTTTATTTTAGTTTATCAACTATTAATTTTGTCACACTTGAGCCATTTTATCTATTTTTATAGTTAGATCAATGTTAAAATACATCAAATTGAGCTAGTTTTTGGTTGATTTAATGGTAAAAATTGATAAAATGACTTAATTGAGATAAAATTGATAATTGAGAGATTAAATTAAAATAATTAAAAATTTAATGACTAAATTGAAATCAAAAATAAAATTTAAGGACCAATTATAATATTTGCTTTTCTGGACGGGTTTGTAAATCATTTCTTTGACCCGGTCTCGAGGTAGCCAAAAAACCCACATCACTTGTGTCAAAGGCTCAAACGTGGAATACAATAAGCTTTGAAAACAAATTAAGACAACGGATGGGTAATTCTTTTTTTGTCCCCTAAAAAATACAAAACATTTTAGTTTGCTCCCATCGAATTATTAATTTTCTCACATTGCCCTTTTAATGAAATAAAAACTTTGTAATGTGGTCCATCGTCTTATTTTCGTTTGGTCATCCATCTGTTTTATAATTCTAAATTGATAAATTTGACACAAAACAGATAGATGACCAAAATAAAATAAGACGATGGACCATTTTTATTTCTTTGAGTGATAATGTGATAAAATTAATCATTTAAAGAATAAATTAAATTTTTTTGTACCAAGGGTAAAATGTGATTTTCCCAAGAAGAATATTAAAAGCGTATTTGCCATCACTATGGCTTTGTTTGGTATATGGTATTAGGTCTTAGGAATGAAATGAACTTTCCATGAGAATCCTATTCTAATGTTTAATTTTTTTTGGATTTAAAATCCAGTCCCATTCCAAAGGAATACCTAATCCTACAAATTATGGGATTAGGCATAACCAAATCTAACATGGTATTCTTCATTCCCATTCCACTCTGTAATGACCCACCCAATCCATCGGGTAAAAAAAAACCCGATCAGTTTGCTCTCTCGTCTCATCTCTCTCTCTCTCTCGCACTCTCATCACATCTGTATCTCTCTCTCGCACACTCTCATCACATCTATGGCGTCCCCCTCCTTCCCTCCTTGTCACTCTCTTCGGTGAAGCAATGCACCAGCTCCACGACCAAGACCAAGACCAGATCAACTTCGACCTTTGCAACAAATCTCAGGTAATTTCTCATTCTCTTTTCACTACTGATATTTATATTCAAGGTTTCGACACCACCTACGAAAACTAATCTCCTGCACCGATACAAATGTAATTGGGTTGTGGTGATTTGGGTCTTGTTTTGAAAGTGTTTGAGAAAATGTCTGATAGAAGCATTTTCATTTTACTCACATAGATTGTGCTCTCAAATGTAGTGTAAGGAACAATTGTACTTATTTTTGTGCTCTCAGATTGCAAATTTCCTTTGGACACCATTGCAATGTGGCGTCACAGTTACTTGAGGTTGTATTTTCGGATATCTTTCCCATCAATTATAACACGTCCAGATGATGGCTCATAGAATCGCTGTATAAGTGCAATAATTGAACTCTTACCACTCCCACTAGTAATTACTAATTTTACTTGGTGGATTTTGCTCTTGGATAATTGTTGGTGTTTTGATCTATACTTGCTTGATAATTCATTTTGTATGGGGAATTTGATGAGTCATCTATTCATACATGGTGGTAATCTCTGTTATGTATTTTCTTATTTGAATTTATAATTGGTGCAGTTGAAGTTTTTATACTTTTTAGTACATGTTTATGAGATTGCTCTCGAAAATCACTGGCCTAAAGTTTGTCTACTGTGTCTGAAGGGTGTGCCCAGAATAGGAAATACTAATTTTTATTAAGAAAAATGAGTAGGAAATACATGTTTATGCTTTGTTATTAATTTGAATTAGTTCGTGCTATATGAAATTCTGTTTGAAATGAATGAATTAACGGTGCAGGATTACATGTTACTTAATTCATGAGTTTATTCAGGAAAATAAATGTTACTTAGATCAAAATTTTAAGCTCATATGCTCAAAATTATCCTTCGCCCCGATCGTAATACCAAAAAGAAATATCTTTCAGTGCTGCCAAATAATAAGCCATTTGAAAGGTAACAATATTGACTGTCAATAAGCTGTCTCTATTTGATTTATGCATAAGAAAAGATTCAGTTGCATTGTAAACAACAGAAAAATCATATAAAGGGTAGTGGTCTGATACTTTTACTCTCTTATTTCTTTTTCTTCCAAACTTAAGAAATGATACTTCAACATGATTATGGTATGCAATATTTCTTGCCAATCATAGCTAACAATGTCCATTCATATGATTGTTTCTCCCTCTTAAAATTAATCGTCTTGGAATGATCCATATGTGCCCTATAAAATCCCATCGACCGGCGCCTCTGTTTTTTCTTCCCCGGCTAGTGGCTGAGAAAATAGCGTAAATTCCTGTAATAAATTTTCTTTTGTGAACCTATATATGTGTCAGTGTGTGTGGTTGAGTGGTGTTTGGTTATGAAGGGGATAGGGACATGTGTTTTCGAAAATGAAAGGACTTGCCCAATATTATTATGATGGTCACATCTCTAAAATTTCCATAGAGAACTTTACTTCAAATCAGACAAGTTATTCATGAGTTTTAGCATTTAGTGCAACGGGGCTAGTCAGTTTTGATAAGACAAGTTAACTAGTAAATGCGCACTTAATTAGGAGGACTATTGTCTATGACCATCTCTCCATTTAAAAGAATGGAGAGATGGTCACCAACCTAGAACGCCTGAAGAGTTCTTTAATATGAAGCATTCTTCTGCTAGAAATGTAATCAAAAGATGGTTTTGGTTGTTAAAGAAACGTTGAAGTATTTTAAGAAGTCCATCTTTCTACTCGTCAAAATACAGAACCGTATAATAATAACATGTTGTTTGCTTCACAACTACATCAAGGATCAAATGCCAATAGACCCAATTGAGGCGAAGGTAAATGTAGCAGGTCTCGTGGTAGAAAATGATGCGCATGATAATCATATTACCACGGTTGAAACATCCAACGAGTGATCAACATTTATATTGAATTTGACAAACAAGATGTTTGATGAGTGAAGAGCAAGTAGACAAATAGTGTAATTTTTTGTGCTTATATTTGAGAGTAATTTTGTTTCTTGAAATTCTATCTTAAATGCTATTGAGATGAAATGAATGGAATTTAAGAATTCTTGTTTTTATTCAATTTGTTTTTGTTTTCGGTATACTCTTGATTATTTTTTGGACTTATTTTTCATTGATTTATTTTTTTGATTCAACCAGCATGTTTGGATAAGATTTTTAGTTGTTTTAATAGTTTTCTTTTTGGATTTGCACATGTGTTTAATTGAATTCACAAAAAACTATTGTTGTTCATTTGAAATGAATGACAAATTTTGAATATTTTTTGATTTTGATTTCTTTTTGTGAACCTATTTTTGAAGGAATTTGTTTTTTATTTTTTTTAAAAATTTATAGGGGTTTAATTTTTTTCAATAGATTCTCATATTTTCTACTTATAAATTTTTTTACGCAAAACTTTCAAAGGCAATCACAATCATAAAAAAAAATTGTTATTAATTATTTTTAGTCACTCTGGATATTTT